TAAATGTGAGAAGATATTAGAATGTTAAAGGAGTGAATAAGGATTGAAAAAGACTGAAAATATGTGTCTAAAATGCAAGATAATGTAAAATATATAATAAAACAATTAGCATTATTATCACTTACTCTAATAAGTAGTAAGAAATTATAATTAACAAATGCTCCTGTTGATATTTTGGATATTATTCTTTCTCCTTAAAAATATTTTGCTATTCTAGGATGAAAGGAAATATCAATTTAGAGAGAATACTAAGCATCATTTAATTAATAGATTTTTTTTAAATTTTACAATTCAATAAATAATTGATGAAATAGAGCATTTATATAAACTATAGACTTAATAATAAAACATACATTTAAGATTAAAGTCTCGAATTATTTGAAAGGAAATAATTTTCATAATGATAAACAAAGAATAATATCATTATTGGTGAATTTCTTAAATAACTCAATTAAATATACTCATGAAGGAGGTAGAATTAGTTTAAACATGTAAGAATGTTAAAAATAACTTAATCTTAAAGTAAAAGTTAATGGGATTGGAATAGATGATCATAAACTGAATTAAATTTAGAATAGTTTACATGATACAAAAAAATTTAGAGCTGGATTAAAATCTCATTCTGGCAGTAAAAAAGCGGCTAAACTAATCGAAGGTTTGACTGAATCTAAAGATAATAAATAATTATACTTCAAAAAAAAAATAAAAGAGCAAAAGTTTAATTTCTAATAGAAGATCAATAATTAAAATCCAATTTTCCAAAATTATAGAATTAACAGATGACTCAAAAGGCAAATCACTTACATATATAAATTCAATACTAAAAAATATAATAATGATTCATAATAATAATCAAAAATTCAAAATTATAAAGATTTCTAAGAAGTAAAATCAGAGTCTATTATGACTTTAAGACTAAATGATTCTGAAAAATTAAATTAAATTTTACTACCTATAAGTCCAGATTATTTTCAAAAAAGAATCTAGATTATTATTATAATAATTTATAGAAATAATTTCACTCTGATTTCTCATAAAAAAAAATAGAAGATTTGTTCTATTAAAAATATGTTCATATACTCATTGGATATGATATTCTTTTTAATTAAATAGCTTTAAAAATGATCCTTAATAAATATCAAATTACAGTTGATTAAGCATTTCAAGATTTTCAAGCTGTTGAAAAAGTTAAATAAATATTATTCAAACACTGTTCAATCTATAAATTAATTTTTTATGGAAATCGAAATACCAAGGATGGATGACTTTCAAAAAAGTAAATATGTATAAATATCAAATAATAATTTATAGATCCTTGAAATAACTTCTAATCAAACTTTTATTGTGATATTTGAATTAGTAAATTTAATTAGAAACTTGTCAAATAAGATTAATTAAATGAATAAAATAATCTTTATAATTTTATTATAGTACTTAGGATAATATTCAAAATTGAAACTAATTCAAATTTTATTTGGTTATCATCAAAGCTTGATGATGAATGAAATTAATTTAAATCAAGCTCACATAATTTATTAATTTAAATTTACAATTTATTTGATTTTACTTACTAATCATTTTAATATATAATATAAATATTTATATTGTAAGGAATATTACACTAAATAGATAATATTTAAATGTCAACTTTGATAAAATAATAAATGACTCTTAAAAGTAAATCTTTCTGTATAATATACAAATAAGGAAATATATCAAAAAAGAAAATTCATAATCAAAATAACAAAGGGAATCGTTTTAATTGATATTTTAATTACAAAATATACGAGTTTATATTAAAGGTTTTTATAGCTTATTACTATTTTTTTTACTTCTCTCACTTATTATTTTAATTTTTTATTGTAGAATCTAACCTTAATATTATGTTAAATAAACACAGAAGTTCATAAACATAGAATTATACAGTTGGTTAAAATAAAAAATTAATAACAATAATACATAATCATAAAATTCTAAAATCCCTTTATAATTAGAATCAATATCACTAAAAATATGATGATTATATGAAATTTATGTATTAATAAAAATGATTCGTTCTGAAAAAATTTTAAAGTAATTTACCTAGTATAAACATCATAAAGTTTCTTTAATAAATTTATAATTTAATTTTTCATCTCTAAAATCGAAATTAATTCCCGTTCAACATTAGATTGATTGGATAGGAAACCTATAGAACAAACTAAATATAAAAAGAAGGAAATCAATGATATTTAGTATTGATTTCACTTATATATGTTTTATATTAATGATAATAAAATTATAATTAATTGATTATTCAATAATTTTAAACTTTCATCAACTTTATTAAATAAGGTTTATAAATTTGTTTATTCTTTATTAATAGAAATTGAGTTTAAAAAGCATGATTTAGAGTTATTTCTTAATCTTCTTTCTCTTTAGCGCTGCAACTTTTTCTTGATTCATAATGTTTTCTATATTTCCAATGAATTTATTGATTTGAATAAATATGTTTATAATGACAAAAAAGAATGCTTTTTAAGAAATAAATGATTATTCAATTTTTTTATAAATAACAAAAAATTACAAATGAAGTTTTTTAGGGGTTTTAAACTTGAATTATTTCATAATGATCAAAACACATAGAATCAATTCAAATTAATATCATCGAATAATTATTTTTTTTACGTTTTACAAAAACTCTCTCAGCTATTCCAAGTACTCTAACTTTAAGTTATATACAGCAGAATCGATAAAAGTATCTTGGGTATTTTTGTAAAATAAGAGTTAAATCATTGTGGAGATTTAGAATTGATTGTAA